TTCTTGATCCATTCATCTACTGAGGGGCATCTGGGTTGGTTCCATATCTTAGCTATGGTAAATAATGCTGCCATAAACATAGTTGTGCTGGTAGCCTTAGTATGGCCTTGTTTGGGATCATTTGGGTAAATGCCCCAAAGTGGGATTGCTGGGTCATAGGGAAGCTCTATGTGGAGTCTTGTGGTTGTACAAGTTTACACTCCCACCAATAATGCAGTAGTGTTCCCTTCTGGCAACAACCCCTCCAGCATCTGTTGCTATTAGAGTCCTTGATTCTAGCCATTCTAACTGGGGTGAGGTGGAATCTGTCTTGATTTGCATTTCTTTTATGGCTCAGGAGGTTGAGCATTTCTTCATGTGTCTATTGGCCATCCTTCTTTCCTCTTCAGAGAAGTTTCTCTTTAAGTCTTCAGCCCACTTATGTATTGGGCAGTTGTTTCTTTGAGGATTTGTTGTTGGGGGATTTAATCACTAGCCATACAATGGACAAGGGTCTCATATCTAGAATAGGCTTTCTTCTAAGCTGCCCCGGGCATGCTCTTCTCTTCAGTGTGCAGAGCATATCACATCACAGGAGGAGTGCACATACGGTGGCTGCAGCACAACTTGCAAACATGTTGCTTCTTCTATTACATACAGAAAAACATCCCACCTCCCTGTCTTATGAAACAAAACTACAACAATCTCTAACAATACTATTCTGTATTTTAACAAAAACCCACTAGGGTTTCATAAAATTAAACTATGCTCAGTCCTCATTTTTTCCATATTCTATTTACTCTGCTTTAAACAGTAATACCATTTAATCAGAGTCCTGTTGCAACTTTCTAATTGCTACCATTTCTTTTTTTTCTTCTTCATTTTTTATATTATCCTTCCATGTTTAGTTTTTTGAGGAACTGCCACACTGCTTTCCAGAGTTAAACGAGTTTACATTCCCACCAACAGTGTATTTAGGGTTCCCTTTTGGCTGCATCCTCACTAGCATCTGTTATGATTTGTTTTCTTGATAATGGCCATTCTAACTGGAGTGAGGAAGAATCTCAATATTGTTTGGATTTGCATTTCCTTTATGGCCTGAGATGTTGAGTATTTATTTGTTTATTTGTCATTTTTATTTTTTCTTCTGAGAAGACTCTCTTTAGCCTATTAGCCCATTCATTAATTGGGTTGTTGAGTTTTGAGGGTTTAATTTTTTAGGTTCTCTGTATATTCTGGATATGAGGCCAATGTCTAATGTGTAGCTAGCAAAAACTCTTCTTCCATTCTGCAGGCTAACTTTTTAGCTTGTTGGCTATGTCCTTTGCCATGCAGACACTTTTTAGTTTGATGCAGTCCTGTTTGTCAAGTCTTTTCTTTGATTCACTGTGTTTCTGGATCTTTACTCAGAAAGTGTCTACCTGTGCCCAGGTTCCCTAATGTTTCCTCTACTCTTTACTGTTATAGTTTCATGGCTTCACATCTTTCATCCTCTTTGAATTGATGCTGGTGTAAGGTGATATATAAGGATCTAGTTTCCATTTTGTGCATGTGGATATTCAGTTTTGCCAGCACTGTGTGTTGAAGAGCCTGCCCTATGATCCAGGAATTCCACTCCTGGACATTTACCCAAAAGATTTCAAATGAGAATATAGTAAACCACCAGCACAACCATATTATTGCAGCACTATTCACCAAGCCAAGGTATGGAATCAGCCCAGATGCCCCTCAGTGAACAAATGGATCAAGAAAACACGGTATATTATACTCAATGGAAATAGAAAGAATGGTATTCATCCATCAGAAAGGATGATTTTGTACTATTTGCAAAGAAATGGAAAGCCCTGGAAAAATTTTGTTAAGTAAACCCAGAAGGAACTGAGATAGTGTAACTCCTTAGAAAGGCAAAGGCAAAGTTCAGTAAAATAAAGCACCAGGAAGCAGGTGCTCAAAGGGGATGGGATGGGTCAAGGGGAAAGAGGTGGACAAATAACTAGGTGAAAACAAGGAAAATGCAGTCAAGAATCCTATGTATATCCTACAAAATAAGAAGAATGAGGGAAAGGGAAGAATGGATCAAAATGTTGAAAGAGGTGATATTAATCAAGATATATTATATTCATAAACTGTTTTGTTAACTTGTAACTCATTTAAAGAATAATAAAATAAACTATAAAATAAACTACCCTTAAGTAGTTGTACAAGGGAGTTTGAATTCAATGTGTCAGTTTGCAAGCACAGGCATCTTAATCAATGTCAACCTCTTCATGATTCTCTCCCAACCCTACCAACACCATCTATCCCCTCAATTTATGTAACTATATTTTCACATATATACATTGAGTATTAATAAATGCATTCATAATACCTTTCTAATTGTTTACCTCATTCCTTTGACCTTCCCCCAAAGAGTATATACTCCAACTTCTTCGTATTCATTTTGTTAAACTATAATTCATTATCTAAAAGAATTACAACATTGAAATACTCCACTTCGTATACCATACTTTAGTTGATACATTTGTGTATATTAATGGCTATAACTTCGTGTTAATTAACAGACCTTGAGCAATTTGCTTTATAATAATACAGTCCCTGCCTTCTCCAATCATTCTCTATTCTGGTTGCAAACAGCCCAAGCCTTCATTCAATCTTTCATTCTACTAGCCAATACAACAGCAAAGAGATATCAAAACATCAACATTAGAACTATTTTATTTGGGGGTTGTTACTCATGATTGGTGAAATTTTTTTCTGCCTTCAATCTGAAGGCAAGAGTATTTGCCATGAAATGGCATAGATTGTGAACAATTCCCCTTTAATGCTAAACAAGGAGGCACTGTGGAGAACATGTAGGTTTCTGCTGGTGGTTGACCTATGACATTTGTGTCTTAATTCAAACAGGGCCTCCCACATGCTGTTAAGAAAAGCAGAAAGTCAGCTATGTACATATGACCATATAAGATGATGCTAAGCAAAATGAACTCCAAGACATGTAAACAAGAGGTTTTTCTTTGTTGTTGTTGTTGTTTTAATGTACTATGTGATTTCTTTTTTTTCTTTTGTGTATTTTTCTTTATGGTTCATCCCCTATTGTCACTATATTTGATTTTGTTACCCAGATATTGTGTATATGTTTATCTGATATAGGGAAGGGGAACAACAAAATGATGAGACAAAGGAGGAACCTATCCAACAGCAATATTTACAATATGTTGGAAATGAACTGTAAAACTTGGGGGGAGGAGAGTTGGGGGATGGAAAGTTGGAGAAAAATGAGGGAAGGGGTAACAAGTTAGACAAGAAATGTACTCACTACCTTACGTATGTAACTGTAACCCCTCTGCACATCTCCTTGACAATAATTTTTTTTTAAGTAAAGCAGAAAGTCTCTGGCACTGCAGATGTGATTGTGTCTCTCACAATGCAGATGCAGTTTGTAGACACAGGAGATCTATCAAATAAGCAAAAGGGGGATATTTTCCAGAAAAGCAAGATGGGGTTGTACCCTCAAACTAAGCTACAGCCTGTTTCCATTTGAGACCATAACTAGTTTGAAAATTGATAGTGGCTCTTACCAAATTCGAGTGACAACCTACCTTCACCTCCCAAGAGTGAGACGGTGGATGGAGGAGAAAAATAAAAGGCTACTCTCTGCAATAGCACCAAAGCCATGAAGATATAGTGGGCCAAACCCTCCTGGTGTCCAAGCAGAAAGCCTCACTGAAAAGTATCTCACCCGCCAGCACAAGCCCCGATACGTTTGTCCGGATGACAATTTCCCCTAGTCTCTCTAAAGACAAGCGTACTCTTGAGGTCTAATGCTTACTACCAAAAACATCCCTAACACAGGCAAGCACATACTTTTAGGTTTGGATTGTTTACGTTGCAGTCAAAGGGGCTGTGAATCCAAAAGATAGTGACAATCAGCATCCAGTCAGCAATAGGCTGGGCTGGGACACTCCAGGAGCCAATCGGAAGTCTCCCTGGCCATTGCCTCGGCCACTTTGTATGTGAGGCGTGGCAGTGTACCACACACCCCTGCCTGAGGGCCAATCCGCGGCCGGCGCAGGCGTTGCCAGGCTGCTCTGTGTATTGGAGGGCGCTTATGTCCCAGGCTCCCTTATCCCGGGAGCCAATCGGTGGCCTGCTGAGCCAGCCGTTGCCATGGCTACGGTCTGTGAGAGTAGCATACACGTCTGGCCCGGACACCCGGCTAAGATACCCTAGCCCTGGTCGGTAGATTTCCTGAGAATCTAGGAGGTGCGCATCTGGAAACACGCGCCGGGGGCCCGAACGCATGAGTTCCCATCATGAACCGAAAGAGGCTGCAGAAGCTGACGGACACCTTAACAAAAAATAGTAAGCATTGTAAGTAAAGCTCGGGTGTTGGACCAGCAGAGGCCTCCTGGGCCATATGTCTATGCAACACAGTGCTGATGTCCCTGAAGTGCCAGCTTCCAGGCTGGTGTGATGACAGATCCCTCTCCATGCCTACTCCCTAAAGAGACACCTGAAAAAGCCTTACAGAAATGCTAGCTCCTTGGGGCAGACATTCAGTCTAAGAATTTTAAGAATTTATACTCGTCATCTAGTGCTGCCTACCTTGGAGCATGCACTCGGCCTGCTTATCAGACCCACTTAACTTAATTTGTATTATAGAAATACAATCATGGGGGCCCACAAGACGTGTCTTAGACTCAGATGAATATCAAAATAGGAAAAGAAAAAAAAGGCACTGGACTTAAGAAAGTAGTAGAATTAAGGACACTATGCACCACCATGCACCACAGCTTGCTTTCTAGATCTTTGTAGAGCAAAATAACCTGGCAAATCTAAGGGTTAGAAGCTCACAGGAGATGAGGAAATTACTCATCAATGTCTGATCATCTCTAGGGAAGAGGAATTGACACGGCACAGAAACCTATGTTTGAGAGCACAGATTTGTTTGGAAACTGAATTGCATAACAAAGTTAAACATGTGGTAAACAATCTGTTCCCAACTCGATTTCCACTTTTCAGTGGCTACTTTGCAGTGAACAAGCATGGTACAGACAATTGGAAAATAAGTGTATTTTTTTAAAGATAAGTGAAAATATATCAAGAAATATTATCTCTTACCATATTTAAATATCACTTTAAAGTGATTCCCCTAAAACTATGATAGTTAACTGTTAAAAGTAAATGATACCGAATTTTCTGTAGAAATAATTACAGAACGAATATTTTAATAATTTTAAGTGTCTTTAAACAGAGGAATTTTAACTAAAGTCAAATTTCTTATTACTTGTCAGATTATAATGTGGTGGATGAGACTGTTAGAGAAAAAGAATCTTAAGTAAGCACCAAGTAAATCCACTATGCTACAGAATGTGATCTACAAGACACATACAGAGCATTCTGAAGAAAAGTGATTCAAGGGTACACCACTGCGCCCAGTCATGGTTGAAATGGAGTCTTGTGAACTTCTTTTTTGCCTGGGCTGGCTCAAATCGAGATTCCCCCAATCTCCACCTCTAAAGTAGGTAGGACTACAGGCTTGAGCCACCACACCTGGCTTAACTGTGTTTTACATTGTTCTTTCTTAACTCCTTTTTCTCTTCCCTCCTCCTTTAAAACAGTGTTTGGTGGGTTTAATTTTTGCTCATTCATAATATATATATATACAGACTAGTATACATATACTTACACAATATCTAATAGATTATATGACATAATATATAATATACACTATACAATATATTAGATATTATATATATTGTATATAATGTACTTGTGCTGAATGTGACATTAAGTACAGAAGTTCCCCCATTACTCATGGGAGGAATGGTTCTACTCTCCTAGTTGATGTCTAAAATTGTAGGGTATCAAACCTACAGTCACATACTTACCGTATATGTATATACCTATGATGCATTTTAATTTATAGATTGGGCACAGTAAGAGATCCACTGCAGTAACAAATAATGAAATGAACAACTATAGCCATATTCTATAATGAAAGTTACTTAAAATTTATAAATTTGAGAAAGAAAACTTCTATATGCTGTTTTTATACTCCATTGGTGGGTAACTGAACCCAACACAAGGAAAGTGAAATTTCAGATAAAGGGGGGTATCTAGACTCACATTCCAGAACTTTTCCATCTTTTCCTTGTATCAACTAAATACTAACTCCCTATTCCTTCCTTTCCTCAAATACCTTGTAACTACCTGTCTACATTCAGTCATTATGAATTTGATTAGTATAAGTACATCATTTAAGTACAATCATATAACACAGTTCTTTTATTTCTAGATCTTTTACTTATCATGATGTCCATAAATATTCCTGCTTCTTTTAGCATTGGATAGGATGTTGCTTCCTTTCCTAAGGCTGAATAATATGCCATTGCAAGAATACATACATACATACATACACACACACATATATATATATATATATATATATATATATATATAACATTTTGTTTAGTCATTCAACTATCTAGAATGGTTTGCTTCCTTGTGAACAGTGCTAATATGAACATTGGTATGCAGCTGTTCTCTCAGTTCTTCCATGGACACACTCAGAATTTCTGTATCATATGGAAATTCTGTGTCTTAATTTTTGAGGAACTGGTTTTCATAGTAACTTAACAGCTCATTTTAAATTTTAATCATTATTTTCTTTTGTTATTTATTAAACTTTTCATTATACAAAGGTTTCATGTTTTCTCTTAAAATGAGGTTCATAAAACCAGAAATCATACTCAAGCCTTTCCTAGCCTTTAGGATGAAGCACAGTTTTCCACTTTGTGCAAACAGACAGAGAGAAAGAGAGAGAGAGAGAGAGAGAGAATTGTTTTATCCTTATTTTTGTCAAGTATTGTGCCATAATTTTATCTGGTTTTGAAATAAAATTGTTCCTATCTTTTACTCATTCTTCATATTTAGACTCATTTTTGTATTCTTAGTGCCAGGCAGTAACCCTTCTACTTATCTCAAGTAGTTGTTGAAACACAAATAATTAACTCAGTGTTTATAAACACCGCACTGTATGCAATTATGTATGCAAGCAAGAACCTGCATGTATACATCCTTTAAATAAAGATGTCCTTCCTGCAAAGTACTACTGAATAGCTTGTTTTCATATAATCCTTAAGAACCATGTTGAGTGATAGCATATGCTTAAATTTCTTTATTAGAAAAAGATGATTAAACCCCATGAAATGATGGGGGAACTTTACCATTCTTATTGTGAGCCAGACTTCTACCAGCTTTGCAAAGTTTAGAATCTGACACTTCAGTCATTATTCATGTCCCATGACTAATATTATCTTCTTATCTCCAAAACATCAGTGGACTTGAATCTATCTAACATCTCACTTTGGTTTGGAGCAAATGCTGCATGTTCCTTGAGTAATGGATTTCATCTTCCATTAACTTAAGGGTACTGAATCTCAAAACGCCTCTGAGAGACAAATGTATATCTGCTATTTTTGAGGTGTAGTCACATAGATAGATGATAGACAGATCGATGGACTGATTGATTATGGATAGGAAGCAAGCAGACAGATTCATAACACATAGATATTCATTAATACAAAATTTAAGTTAGAACTTAAAGATGAAAAGCATACTTTTGCTCCATCTTCATTTTATTCTTTTACAGTTAACAAATTTGAAGTGAAAAGACTCATAAAACTTTTCTATACCTTGGTGGGGGAAACAACAGAACGGCCAGGTTCAGTCACAGGACTTGATCGCAATGCATTTCGGAACATCCTGCACACAACATTTGGAATGACAGATGACATGATCATGGACAGAGGTGAGAGACACATAGGATTCAAACCAGCAAAACCCAGCCGCTACTGCAAACAAACTGGAGCTTGGTAATACCCTTGGATGTTTTGTGTTTCACATGATCAATTTCACTTGAAATTGTAATTTTCCAAATTTCACACAGAAGGCAATAATATTCTCTTTATTTTGTATATGAAAAGTGAGCAAAATCAGGCAGGTACAAATGGCTCATGTCTGTAATCTAAGCTACTCAGGAGTTTGAGATATGAAGATTGTGGTTTGAAGCCAGCCCAGGCACAAATATCTGTTAGACTCTTATCTCTAATTGACAAGCCAAAAAAAAATGTGAGTGTGGCCCAAATGGCAGAGTGACAACCTCATTGAACAAAACAGATGAAGAAAAGTTCAAGCTGCAGTTCTGACACACACAAAAATAAATAAATAGAAGGAAATGGGCAAAGTAAAGTAGAATAAGTTTATCTTTCTTCATATCAAAAATCCCAAAACATTTATATTTCTACTTAGAAATGTAATAAATAGCATAGTTTTTAAAAGGCAATTGAAAGTTTAAGAGTTTAAAGATTAAAAATGTATTTTTCTTACATCTTAATTTTATTACTAAATTTCCTTTTAGCCTAGAAAATAGCTTAATAAGAGTTAAAAACAATTCTATAGCCAGGTGCCTGTGGCTCAAGCGTATAATTGTAGCTACTCAGTGTAAGGTCTGCACAGGGACAGCTCCCTATCTCTTGGCTAAGTTTCTGCCCAGGATCTGTTATCTAGATAACTGGCACACCTGGAAGCAGTCACCTTCCCCTCCTGCTAGGTCACATCCTGGGCCACTTCTGATCACATGCCTCCCATCTGACCTTAGGAGGGTCCCAGGCCCTGAGGTCACATCAGGATCCAGTGTGGCCACATCTTTCCCCCACCTGGTCACACCTCTTCCTGTCCCTGGCCTAGATAAGTCCTGGCCCAGGCATGGATCACCCCCTTCCTTTTTTCAGCCATGCTTCTCCACCATGCACGAAAGGGACAGCAGCTCTGTAAATACACTTCTTTTCCTGCCTGAATAGCACCTGGTGATCTCTTTATCGGCTACCTAATGAAGCCTACCTATTTAATATACCTTACACTCAGGAGGCTGAGTATTGAAGTTCAAAGCTAGTCTATCAAGGAAATCTGTGAAACTTTTTTCTCTAACCAGCAAAAAGCTGGAAGTGAAGCTGTGGCTCAAGCAGTAGAGTACCAATCCTGAACCCAAGGACTGCCACACACACACACAAAAAGTCCTATAGTGTAATAGTGTTACTTAAGTAACAAAACATAAAATTATGTATATTAATCTTTAATGTGTCTAAGTGATTCATATATTTTTATTTTAGGACATTCTTTTATTTTCACAAAATATGAAAGGAAAATTTGATTGTGTAAATAGAAGTATTTTCCAATGTTGTGATGTCTTACTTTTCTTCTTGGCCAAATAAGGTCATTGATCCATGGAATTTTGGGGGTTTCTTTGAATTCTAAAAGAAAGGAAGCCAGGATAGGTACTTTATTGAGAATATTTAGCACAATTGTTACGTAGTATCTATCTTTTTCTGCAGTATTCCGAGGTTTTGATAAAGATAATGATGGCTCTGTAAATGTATCAGAATGGGTTCATGGATTATCACTGTTCCTTCGAGGATCATTAGAAGAAAAGATGAAATGTAAGTGGGAAGTCTATTCTCTTTGTAAATGTTAGACTAACAGGGTTTGTGTACTTAAATCAAGCCAGCTAATGAAATGGCTTAGTTGGTGGGTTGGATGATTGATTGGTCTGAATCCTCATCAGCTTGTTTTATGGAGTGAATTTAAATCAGTAGGGGATCAAAAAATAATAAGCAATGCTGAGGAGCATTCACACCAAGAAAGATGGCAGAGGTATTACCACTTCCATTCTAGTTACACATGTATATATGTATGTGCTAAACATTTTACATTTCTTGCCTTGAAGTACAAATTCAGAGAACATTGATTCAAGTGTTCTGATCTTTAATTCTAATGATCCCTACTAAAGTCATACCTTAACAGTATTCAACATATCAAGATGAGAATGTCCGAGTGATTGCTCTTAGGTGTGCTTTTCCATAGCTCAGTGTAAGGGAAACAAGATTTTTTAGGGGGAAAGGAGTGTTGTTGAATATATCCAACAGTGTTTGTTAACACACTGTGAAGCTTCAACAAGGCTCGTGGGACTGATAAAGCACTGACAAGATCATCCTTGACCTTGATGACTTAATCCTAGGAAATGTTACTTTAGCAATTGTATCAAATTCATAATTTGACATATTTTTAAGATTGCTTTGAAGTGTTTGATTTGAATGGTGATGGCTTCATTTCAAAAGAGGAAATGTTTCACATGTTGAAGAACAGCCTTCTCAAACAGCCATCCGAGGAAGACCCCGATGAAGGAATTAAAGATTTGGTTGAAATAACACTTAAGAAAATGGTAATTATGAGTAACATGGTTTCATATTGAATATAGAATAGATCAAAGAATTCAAATTGTGATAAGTAAAGTTTACTGTTTAAATAAAACCCCTGAATTATGCTTGTTATTAAAATATTTTTTTAAAAAATATTAGCCTGGTGCTAATGACTCACATCTGTAATCCTAGCTACTCAGGAGGCTGAGATCTGAGTATCACTGTTCAAAGCCAGCCTGGGCAGAAAGGCCATGAGACTCTTATCTCCAATTAACCACTAGAAAACCGGAAATGACACTGTGATTCAAAGTGCTAGAATGTTAGCTTTGAGCAAAAGAGCTAAGGGACAGTGCTCAGGTCCAGAGTTCAAGCCCCATGACCAACAACAACAACAAAAACTTAACTAGATGCCAGTGGCACATGCCTGTAAGCATAGTTCCCAGGCCCTCAGTTCAAGCCACAATACTGACAAAGAAAATAAATCTTTGGGGCTAGATGTGTCATTCAGTGGTAGAACTCTAGAGCTCTTGACTAGTATCCATAAGGCCCTAGGTTTGATCCTCAGTAGCTCCCTCAAAAATTTTGTACAATTTCACAACCCATTTTCTTATTTTTCTAGCACATTTCTTCTATTACCAGTTGGATCTGAATAGAGTGTCTATGATAAGTATGTCATATGTTGAATGAAACATTACTGTCTCCTCCCTCTCAGGACCATGACCATGATGGGAAGCTGTCTTTTGCAGACTATGAGAAAGCTGTAAGGGAAGAGACTCTTTTGCTGGAAGCCTTTGGACCTTGCCTACCTGACCCAAAGGTAATATCAGGAGTTCTGCTGAACCATAACCAAAATATAATCAAGGATAAACAATCCAAAACTTCTGGGTTTGATGAGTGGAGGACCAAGGGAATCACATTTCCTGCAGCTCTAAGCAGAGAAAAGCCACTAAAGAAGAACCTGACAATTCATCTCATGGTGCTACTGTAGCCAGTGGTTCGTTTTTCATTCATGAACTTACTCATTCATGTTAGAAACAATTAACAAGGCTTAATGTGTAATCAGAAGCACAGATGAAAGGCTCAATGGCCATGCTTAAGGGCAAAAACCAACATGCAAATAATTGCACAAGAGGGTGATAAGTATTATTATAATAATATTTAATTACTTCGATGGTGCTTCAGCTATGCCAGGCAAAGTCATAGGCTTTGTGCTGCATATCACTTCATTTAATCCCTCTAACAGCCTTAAGAAGTATGTGGTATTATTATCCTTCTTGTATACATGGGTAAATTTAGGCTCTGATGATATAGGCAACTTGCCCAAGTTCACTCAACTCAGAGTGGGATACCCTGATATGCTGTGCCAGAACCTCCATTTTGTGTGGGACCACAGTGGCAGGTGAGACAAAGGAAGATTTGTTTCAAAGGACCAAGGAACCAGGACTAATTAATTTGTGCAAAAGGAATGATGTATTTATAAATGAGGGAGGAGGAGCCAGAACAAGAGCAAGTGACACGGAGATATGGCAGCAGATGTCTAGAAGGACCATGTGGGGTTGGGCTTTGTTATGAAGATGACAGCTATTCACTGCAGGATTTTTATTAGTTTTTGTACTCCAGCTTGAGACTCTTTTGGCTTTCTCACTCAAGGCTGGTATTTTATCACTTGAGCCACAGCTCCACTTCTGATTTTTTTTTCTGGTTAATTGGAAATAAGAGTTTCATGGGTTTTTCTTCCTAGGGTAGCTTTTCAACCCAAGATCCTCAGAGTTCAACCTCCAGAGTTCATTGCGTGTTTTAATTACATGATGTGCTTTATCAATGTCTCTAGCCCCTTATGCTCTGGTTCATATCTCCAGCTGCCTGTTGGACATGTCCCCAACTCGCCCCTCCTCCATCTCCCTAGTTATTCAGTCACAAACCAAAGAGCCCTGACTATAGCCCTGACTATAATCTCCACGTCTATGACACAAGTATCTGTCTCTTGGACTAGATCAAGAGCTTTCTTTTATTTTGTTGCTATTATTAAGTGGTTGTATGAAGGAGTTACAATTTAATAAGTCATGTTATGAGTACAATGCTTCTTGGCAATGTCACCCTTCCCTTCATTCTTCCCCATCTCCCCCCTCCCTTCTCTACCCACAAGTCACTGTAGTTCATTTTTCTCATAATATACATTGAATACAATGACTGAATTTGCTCACCCTTCCTCCCTCCATTCCTGCTTCCCCCGTACTTTTGCTCTCCCAACAAAGATAATGAGCTTTCTTGCCTCTACTGTCTAGTGCCTTGTCTCCACACATGTACTATCTTTGGAAATACAAAGGCTCCAACCCTGAAGTGGATACAATGGTCCCCTTCTCTCTCCAACCACATTTCCTCCTCTCCCTGATTCTCTCTGTAGAGGCCACTACAACTATACTAGCCATGTTAATACTCCTCTCTCCATGCCTTGCATTTGTCGTAGCCTCTGCCCAGAGTACTTTCACCAAAGCATGTGCCTCAGTCTCCCATGGCATCCAGCTTCTTCCTTATAGCGCCTCATCTTGGCCATTTTAGCATTACCCTTTCTGTCACAGCCCTGCTTTCATTTTCTTCATTAATGTTTTCACTTCCTAATTGATATTTACTTGTTTACTTACTATCCGTGCCATCACATAGATATTAGCTCCTTTAGCTCTATAGCTCCCTTAGAACTCTGTTCTTTTCTCAGTGTATTTTCTCATCCTCTACCTGTGACATTAAATAGGTGCCTAGTGAATGATGGGTGGAGAGGTGGAGGAGTGCATGGATGATCTCAGAGGTGACTGACAGGGAGATCCAGACCTGCTTGGCTTTCCCAGCATCCACGGACTCCTCCTTCACTAACAAAACCTTCCTGTTAGAATTTGAAGGATTAAAAACCATTCCCCCTAAAAGACAAAAAGAAAAGAAAAGAAGGGAGAACAGAAGGAAGGAAGGGAGGAAGGAAGGGAGGAAGGAAGGGAGGAAGGGAGGAAGGAAGGAAGGAAGGAAGGAAGGAAGGAAGGAAGGAAGGAAGGAAGGAAGGAAGGAAGGGAGGGA